ATCATAATTTATATTACCAAAACATTGTCACTATTTCATCATTCATAAAATCATGTCTCGAAAACCATATCATCAGGAACAATGAAAATCAGAGTACAATCCCAGAAAATCCGATGCGGAAACCATGTGTGTGATGCACTGCTACGCCACCGGCTCTTTCCCATTGGACGAAGAGGTACCTGAAACCAAATTGTTAGCACAAAGCTTAGTGAGTTCCCCCATCATACCACACACCACATAAAACTATCGGTATCTTTCAACTGGTAACTGCCATCGGTATCTTTCAACCGGTAACCATCATCGATATCTTTGAACCGGCACACACCATTGGTATCTTTCAACCGATAATTGGGGACTATTTCACCCCCTATCACTAGCATACTATAACGAGAGATAATCATACAGTCAGGCATAACTGGGTAGGGACAACTAATCCCTTCTACACACATAGCATATCATACAGGCATATCTCATGACCATAACACATTAACATACCAAGATAATTATCACAAAGACAATCATCTCATACATACCTACTTAATGGTGGGCTGGAAATGGTGCCTTAGACCCAGCCCTACTGGAAGGTAACTCACCTCGTAGTAGTAGCTATCGATCTGTGCAGGAACTCTCTATCTGCTGCTGCTGCTGCTCCGGAAATCCTCCAGATATAATTCCCACAAAACACCCAATCAGAGTCTGATAACTACTCTTATGGAGGAATGACTATTCTACCCCTGACCTAGTCAAAGTCAAGCCAAAGTCAACTTCCAGCTGACCTGACTTGCCGAGTTGGGCCGCCAACTCGTCGAGTCCTTATCCATCTAATTGTCCTCATTCTCGTCCCTACTCGTCGAGTAGGCAATGATTCAACGAGTTCTCCTCCTATTCGAACATCGAATGATCCCTCATCCGACTCACTGAGTTCATCTTCATCTGAAGAACAAGCCCTGTCCTTGACTTGCCGAGTTGTATGAACAACTTGTCGAGTTCATCTTCATGTGCTGGGAGATTGCCTTGGACTCGCCGAGTCTGTTCATGTACTCGTTGAGTCCCATGAACTCTAGATCTAAGGTTAAGTCCAATACGTCTAAACAGCTATAGGACTCCCTTTTCTAACAACTAACCATCGCAGAAGGGTTTAAGATGGCTGAAAGTGCACCGACTCGCCGAGTCCAACCTTGGACATTTCTATACAGTCGATCTAAAAGGGATTTAGCACACCAAAACCATAGATCTGGCCTCCTAATGTCCATTTAATACATAAAGTTCCAAACTTGATGCACATGCATGGGATTTTTAGCTCAAAAGTCCATAGAAGGTGCTCTACAATGTGCATGGGGCTCTCATGACCATAAAGTTGGCACATTTATGCCATGAGTCCCCTCCAACGACTCAGATTTGGAAGTAGAACCCCATGAATCACCTTACAAATCCGAAAATGGCTTAAGAAGCCCTAAATGCACCATGACCCTAGGCCCTAAAGATGAACAACCAAAAAGGAAGATCAAAACAGGGGGCATTTACCATGCTTCAGCTGAAGGTGAAGTAAGATCTTTGGATATACAAGTCCCAACTCGAAATCCCAAGCTTCCTCTTTCCTTCCAAGCTTCACAAACCAACCAAGAACACCAAAATGGCCTTAACACACACACAAACGGCTAGGGTTTCGATATCCAGCTCTAAGGGAGTGTTAGGGACAAGGGAGGTTGAGTTAAGGTGTTTATATAGGGTCCAAACCCTCAGATTTAGGGTTTTACTCGCACAACGCCTACTCGTCGAGTCCGTCTTCCGACTCATCGACTAGGTCACTTAAGATGTTTGTGGACTCGTATCTACTCAATGAGTGGGTCCATGAATCACCTTATAAATCCGAAAATGGCTTAAGAAGCCCTAAATGCACCATGACCCTAGGCCCTAAAGATGAACAACCAAAAAGGAAGATCAAAACAGGGGGCATTTACCTTGCTTGAGCTGAAGGTGAAGTAAGATCTTTGGATATACAAGTCCCAACTCGAAATCCCAAGTTTCCTCTTTCCTTCCAAGCTTCACAAACCAACCAAGAACACCAAAATGGCCTTAACACACACAAACGGCTAGGGTTTCGATATCCAGCTCTAAGGGAGTGTTAAGGACAAGGGAGGTTGAGTTAAGGTGTTTATATAGGGTCCAAACCCTCAGATTTAGGGTTTTACTCGCACAACGCCTACTCGTCGAGTCCATCTTCCGACTCATCAAGTAGGTCACTTAAGATGTCCGTGGACTCGTATCTACTCAATGAGTGGGTCGTCCGACTCGTTGAGTCACAGGGAGAAACATAAAAATGCTTGAATTAAATGCGTACCAGGAATTGGGTGCTACAGGCCCTAAATTGAATCAAACCCAAAATCCCTGGGGGAAATACCTATCCAAATGCCCCTCCTTGCCACACATGTAGCAAACAATCCCTAACCAATAGGGACTCTCATACCTCTTGCCGCACTTACTGCAAGTGCATCCCTTCTGGCCTCCAACTCTTGAGTCAGTGGGCTTAGGATGCTTAGTTATCGGATGCGACTGCACTAGTCTCCTATCTCTCACACGGGTCCCCCTCTCCTCTCTAGCCTAGGTCTCCATCTCAATTTCTCTCCTCCTGGCATTGGTTTGTAGCTCAGCCAATGTCCGATATGAAGTGTTTGCCATGAACTAATGGATACCCTCCTTAGAATACTCCGATATCGACTCACACGCTCCTGCTCAGTCAACACGTGTTCAGGACAAAACAAGGCTCTCTCATGAACCATTCTGGTGCTCCCAGTCACCGTCTCTATCTTCTTCTTAAGATATAGTACTTTTGGGCCAATCTCTCTCTCTCTTTTTCAACTTCTGGCACAAACTCCTCCTTAAAAAACTCAATAAATCTGTCCCTAGTCGCCGCAACATGCTCTACAAGAGTATAATCTGCTATCACAAATTTCCACCAGTCCTTCTCCCCTGAGCAAAGCAGGTTCAATACGAATCGAACCCTCAGAGTCTCCGGACAGGAGCAAGTGTAAAAAAACCCTCAACATCATAAATCCATCTCATCACAACAATTAGATCCTGGGTCCCATCAAACTCGGGTGGCTTCGTGTTGTTGAGCTCACGGTACCACAATGAATCACCCTCCTACGGTCTCGCGATAGCAACAGCTGTGGTGGCTGCGGTAGTAGCAACCTCAGTGACGGAGGTATAACGCTCATCGAAAGTCCCAATAAGCATGGTCTTAATAGACCCAAACATATCTGGTATAGCCCCTCTGATAGTTGCAGCCACCTCGGTGACAAAAATCCTACAGATCTCATCATCACTCGTACTCGGCCTCTCGGGGTTGCTAGAGCCTGAACATCGAGTAACCACCATACCGAAACACATAAGAAAACCATCAGAATCGGGCTAAAGCACATACACAAACATCTACACACACCAGCAAGCTCCTTAGTTCCTTAAGATTCCATCCTGAGTCGCGTATAAATTCGATGTTTTCAGTAGTACGAGCCGAATACTACCTTCCACACCAACGCATATTTGTCTCAAGTCCTCCTCTCAAGACCCTAAGTCACAAGGACTCTATTTCTTAAGATCAGCTATATAATCGTCATGTTGGTTCCTCGGGACCAATACTAAGCATTTAGGTACTCATTCTAGACTGCTCCCAGCGCTGCTCCGCCTCACAATATCTCCCCTGTCCTCTCCATTTTCTTTGTGCATGCCAATCATACATAATACGTGACTCGATAGACATTAGAGTAAATGATTCTACCTCAAATCCACAAACCAAACAAGGAACATGAAGAAAGACTAAATCAGACATTCTAAGGCTATAAAACCTAACTATGTACAATTATGCAGCATACACCAAGCAAATAGCAATGACATATTCAATCTCATAATAACAATCTCCTAGGCTAAAGGCACCACAAATCAGGCAACCTTATCACACATTTCCTACAGGATTCTTAGCCTATCACTAGCATGCAGTTCTATCAGCTAATACGATATCAGCTCTACACTACTCATGAGATAATTTGAGATATTTTGGGTAACTACCGTTCGAGCTCTGGTTGATTGTACATACTGTTTCACTGGGTTTTTCTCTTATAAAATTCTTCACTTCTTTGAAAAGTTTTTATGAAAATCTACATATAACTTTTAGTTAGGTGTCTAAAATATCCTTCTATAATAACCGAATTAATTAATGAAACATGGTAACCAACTTCAGGGTCACCAATGTTATTTCACTATAGTGAAATGCATTCATTTGAATCGATGAAGCTTCTATATCAAGAATATTAAATGAACTTTTAAAAATTTAACAAAGAAACAAATACTACCAGCTTAATAAAAATAACTTTAACCACAAATCCCAGTTACTTTAGCCTATAATAAGATGATAAGCATATGCAATTTCACGTGTTAGTATATGTCCAATACCTTGCGGTGATCTTATATTTTATGTAAATTAATAGCTAATGACTAACCGTTTTTCCTATATCTTTGTATTAATTGTCTTAAAAAAAAATTAAACATGATCCACCTACAAAATATCAATAGCGATATTTATCATGTAATTTTTTCCCTATAGTTAACCAGGTTTAAATGTGGAGCCACATCAGTTGGTATGAATTGGTCACATGTGCTTGGAGATGCTTCTTCGGTTGTAGGTTTCATAACCCTATGGGCTTAAGTCATTGCAGGTCATCACCCGACCCAACCACTCATCATGGCCCAACCACGAACCCATGCCCACAATATCCAAAGCCCAAATATTAGCTCCGATATACTTTCCATAAATAGGGTTGGTCCAATTGTGGATAGTTGGTGTACTACAAGTAATTCCAAAATGGAAACTTTCTCCTTTTATATCTCGATCTCCAAGTTAACTAAGTTGCAAGCGAATATATGAAAAGAGAAAGCTCACCCACAAATTCCTTTGTTTGAAACTATTTGTGCTGTAATTTGGAAGTCTTTGGAAAAAATTAGTCATGAGTTGGATATGCAAAAGTGACTTGAGAAACCGCAATAAAGAAATTATCAAAAACAAAAGTCAAACCATTTGTGTTGTTAAAACAGATCTTCCTATAGTCGAATGTAACATGATGATGCAATTAGGGTCGTTGATGATGGATCAAGTTGGAATGAAGATTGAAAAAGCAATGGAGAGTGATGACACGCTTCAAGATTTACTCATTTATGGAGCAAATTTGACTTTTGTGGATTTCAGTGATGTCACGTTCTATGAGATGGAAATGAAAGGACAAAAACCAGTTTACGTAAACTGTGATATTGATAATATTGATGACAAATGTGTTGTTTTGGTTCTCCCTGCACCAAAAGGATGTTACCATTACCAAATAATTAATAAAATGATCGAGCTTAAATCAATACTTAAGGAAGATTGGTGTATTGTATAAATACATCTACGGTTGGATGCATTTGCTTAAATTATGTGCTTAATAATGATTAAATCATTTACCTATTGGAGGAGAAGTCTACGTATTACGTGTATTACATGTCTATTTTTTTAATTATTATATATTTCCCATAATAATAGATATTGGAGGGGACGTCTGTGTATTACGACTACCATTTTTAAGTATTATATGTTGCTTATAATAATAATAATGCATGTGTTGTCTTATAAATTATTGTTTATGCATCTTGAACATTAAAAAAACAATGTTCAATTTCTTAAATTAATCATGGCTATATTCTATGTTGGTGAGAGAGTGGCGGATTAGGTTAGTTATTCATCAAATGTACTGATAATGGTGTACAAGTTGTTGAGGATAGGTGTCGTCTAAATTTTCTAATGTTATTTGAGGTTTCCAAAAAAAAATTTAAAAATTTAAATCTAAATTTTCTATTGCGGTTCAAATAAAATATAAACCTCAATAAATGTTTCGAATTTAAATATCTTTTGGGACATAAAACTTTAACTTCTTGTTTCTAACAATCTTATCATGTTTTCTCCATATCTTACTATTATTTATGTCGTGCAACTTCCTTCCCTTTTCTTATTACCAAAGGACTTTTGCTCATTAGATAAAATTAGCTACATATTTAGTGTTTGCTTACCTCTATTCTCATAATTTCTTTTTACGTGATGATTTTTTGCAGCTCTTGATACCTTTTTATTATGAAGGAATAACAAAAACTTAACAAATCCGTCTCTAAAACAGAGAAAACAAGGTGAACATGAAAACTGGATACCAATCTTTGCAACCTGCAATGCTGGAACCGAAACCGACAATTAGGAGCCAAACAAAATCATTTACGGTTCTTACATTTTTTTAACCATTAACCGCCTCGATATAACTATAAGTTTTTTTAATAACTTTTTTGTTGGTCCTTAAGGAAATATATCAACAAAAATGTTGAAAAATTATTGGATAATGTTTAGGTCCTTTTTTTTTTCCAGATTTGAAGACATTTATACATTAACGTTTTATTAATTTGGCCAATTAATTATATTATGTAGTGAATTAACTCTTATCAGTTTAGCCACAAAAAATATCGACATATTGCCAAATGATTTGCTAAAGCCAAATGACAAGATTACCCTTACCCACCTTTTAGGTGTACTTCCATCAAAAACTACATCCTGAATCATTTTAGCTTTATTTATTTGTATGTTTATTCTATTTATTTGCTTGTCATCTGTGATTACTATTGTATCTTTTAAAGGATGGATGGATGGAAGAGCATCATTGGAGCCTACAGGTGGAGGTGGAAGGTGGAATACAGGATGCCAAGCTACTGAAAGGTCATTTTCATTCTCAATCTTTATGATGACCTATTGTTCATGTAGAAATTACTTGCTAATATACTTTCTGTTTTAGCGTTTGAATGCAATGTTGGTTATTTTGGTTTATGATATATGATTTCCATTGCTAGAATTTGTCAAAATGTATTACATTTTAATTCTATTTCAGTTAAAGAGGGTAATCTAACAATTTTCTTTCTTTGCTTACAGATTCGTTGATGGTTTTTTTTTCCTTATTAATTTATTTATTTACAGATCAGTTAAAGAGGGAAGGGATGAGCAACTCAAAATATAAACAAATAGTTGATCAAATAACAAACAATGGAAAAAATTGTCGCATCCGACCCCGCAACGCGGGGGTTCCCCACCTAGTTGTTTTAAATACCAATTATACCACATTATTTTTATTATATATTAAATACGAACAATTCCTATTGCATCGATTTTTTTTATGTTTTTTCTCTTTTCTGCCTGATTTTTGTTCCGCCGCCGCCCGTTCCAGACAAATAGGATATGTGGTTTCCTCCATTTGTTTCTTCTACGTCTCGTCTTTGTGCTTACTCAGCTGACTTTCATTAATCTCACCTGTACATGCATATACCACCGCCAGTATTTCTCCATATTCTTCTCCATCCTTTCCACCGCTCCACCGTTATCTCTCCTCTGTCTATCTCAAATGAGAGACCAGTTTTTCTCTTAGCGAATCTTCCATTTTCTCCGCATTTTCCATGTTCTCTTCTACACCATCGACATTAATCGAAGCCGTCATCACCACCGCTCCACCAAATCGCCATCTCTACTCCTCTAATTCCCTCTGCCGCCTAAAAGGGACCGCTTCCATCGCCACTAATCCCTCTACTTGAAGGGGTTTATATTCAGATCAGGGAGGAAATCGTTGTTGAGAAAGAAGCTTCTGAGACTCTCATACGTATTATTGTTCATTGCTGCCTCCACTACTCGCCATGGAGATTCCCTCTTCAGGTTTTGTTGATTCCTTCTCTTCAACAACACATGCTCGTCGTCGGCTTCCAGGTCCCTTCAGCCCTCTCTCATCTGGTGCTTCCAGGTATCAAGTAGTCTGATTAACTGATTCAAATACCATCAGGGAAGATTACAGTTGGTAATTATGCAACCTCATATTTGTCTAGAGCGTCGTACCCTATCCCCTGTGTTCTTGTCGTTGGCTTCGTGCCCCAATTGATAGAATTTTGGTGCTTTGTTGTCACTCCCTCTTCTATCTGCTTCATCTATCTATGAGTCCAAAGAGTCTTAATCGCGTTGTTCGTCTGTGTGGTTGTTTCTCATCACATGTGAGAATATCTTATTTTTGCTCACCACATGTTTGATGAAATGCCTCAGAGGAATCGAGAAGAAGTGAAAACGATTGCTGACCTGAATTGGCGATGTAATTTTATTGATTTTTTTTTTCAAAAAGTTGTTGGTAATATGATATGAACCCATGAAGGATACCCACGATATGATCATACATTAGACTAATTCTCATGTTTTATTTTTCCATTATGCATGTTGCCACGTTTCCCTTTTCTTAGGAATATCATGTTAGCTTTTTCATTCCAGTAACCATGCACGTTTACAATTCATAGTTAGTTCAATCTTTCCTTTAAATGCATTGTAAGTTGCTTTGGATAAGAGGGTAGAAATTTGTTTCAACCTTTGTGTGCTTCTATATCTTGATTGCTGAAGTAGTTACTATAAATAGACCACGACATTGATGAATGTTTGTTTGTATGTTTGTTTTGTGTTATTTGGTAGGCAAATCTATTGTGTTTGGATCAGTCATACCAAGAGAGTTTGAGACTATTAGCAGAGACAAATGCGGTTGTCGAAATGCACAATCATGGTGGTTGTATCATGGATTTCACATCCCTCAATATCGCATTGGTTAGTGCTTTCTAAATTTAACTTAGGCCTTCTATTTTGTTCATAGAAATTGATTTAAATGCTATTGAATTGTAAATTCTCTGCGCTTCAAATATTTATTTCAATCGATAAAAAAACCGAGGAAGGGAGATTTGGTATGCGACTTTATGCATCTCAATTGGTTGGCTAGATACCATTGAAGCTAAACACTTGACAAACCTTTTCACCGGTATTAAAGTTACATTTTTGATTTCTGAGTCTAGATGATTTTAATAATCGCAAGATTATCTATGCTGGCATCAATCAATCCATTATTTCAATATGATAAGTAGTAGATAATCTTTTTAAATTTTGTACATGTTTTTGGATGGATTGTGCTATGAACTGACCCAATGTTAAGCACACAAACCCAACAAATCAATCAAAACATTAGAGAAAACAGATTGTAATCTCACTCAATATTAATAACATTCAAATGATGAAGAACAAAAGATAAAATGACATTTTTGTAACAAAAATATGACAACTCTCCTCTCCACTATCACCATATCTTATATGCTAAAACCTGTAACAAAAAATAACCCTAAAATGCCCAAAATACCCTTCCACTATCAAAGATGCTCTTTATTTTACTGGGTTTCCCTTAATTCCCTTTTCTATAATATAGGACTAAACCTGGTGTGTAGCAGATAGACAGTAGTTGGGTAGGCTAACCTGTCATTGTTTGCTTCTAAGAGACTTGTCATGGCCATTAAAGAAAACTAATAAAGCTGATATGAATGGCTTTAAAGATGTAAACTTGGTGGTGGAGGGTGATGTCATTGAGGGTATTCGTGAGAATTCCATAAAATGCACTGATTAAGAAGGTCATCTCGATTGAATATTTGGATTAGCTGTTGGAGGTATGTATTTGGCATTTTTTAAATACCATGAAAATGTGGTTTTTTAGTATTTAATTTTTAGTGGAGATTTATTTGGTTTAAATTTTTTGTAGGGGGGTTTCTTTTCAGCTCTTCATTTGATAAAACAGTCAATGTATGGTCTCTCCAAGTATGCATCATCAAATCATCATGATTAAATTTACATACATGGAAATGAATTGAAATGATGGATTACTGAAATACATAACACAGGGTCTTAATCGCATACATACATTCAAGGGTGATGAACATAAGGTAATGGCTATAGTTTATGTAAACAGAGAAGCTCCAATTTGCATTAGTGCTGATAATAGGGGTGAGATTTTCATCTGGGCCATTAAAGTTCCATTTAAGGAGAATGCTTTCAAAAGATTGAATGAGGAAAAAGATTAGCACTACAATGGTATTCATTCTTTTGCTGTTTCTGAAGTTGGATATTTTTATACAGGCAGTGGGGACAAGTCAATAAAAGCCTGGTCAATGTCATTACTGGAGTCTATATCACCAAAAGAGTTTTGAGGTGGAGTTAAGAAACAATCCAGACCATTGACATGTTTGATCAGGTGTGTGTGTATATATATATATATATATATATATATATATATATATATATATATATATATATATATATATATATATATATATATGGATTCTCTTATGTATTTTAATGCCAGATTTATAATAAATAAAACGAAAGTAGATTGCTATATATATTATGGATAAAAGAGTAAAAGTAGGTTACTATTTGCGGGTTTATGAAACAATAAAAGATGCTCTTCAAGCTGATTGTACATGTTATGCACCACGCATAGAGATTATCGGTATTCGTGTCACAAAGCTTAGAATCTCAAAAAGTGTAAGGAGAAACTTTGAGCAGATGGAAGAAGAAAGCACCAAGGTGGGTTTGGAGTAAAATTTTTGTTGTTGTTGGTGGTGGTGGTGGTTTGATGAAAAAAGATGTTTGAGGAAAATTTGGAAGATTCTGTCTTGTGAGTACTTTCAGATGTTGGATCATTCAAATGACTAAACTCTACAGTAAACAATGATGCCACGGCCAATTCCGCAAAGTGGGATTCTTCCTTAGTTATTATTAAATATGTATTATTATTATTATTATTATTATACCAAGTATTATTATTATTAAATATGTATTATACCACACCTGTTGTGTGTATGGGTATATATGTATGTGTATGTGTTTGTCTACGTGCATGTATGTATATGTATATGTGTATATGTATGTGTATGTATTTGTATGAATGAGTATGTGCATGTGTGTGTATGTGTGTATTTGTGAATGTATGTGTATGTGTGTATGTGTATGAATGTGTATGTGTATGTGTATGTCTATGTATATATGTATGTGTATTTCTATGTCTATGTATATATGTTAATACGTATGTATATATCAAAAATCACAAGTATCTATATAGACATTACAATATCAAACCATAAAACAATTAAAAGGATATATATATATATATATATATATATATATATATATATATATATATATATATATTATATATATATATATATATATATATATATTAAAAGTCCTAATATTTTCATCGATTTGAGAAGAAAGTGTTAAATTTTATTTTATTTTTAACAGTAAAGTCCAAATTACCGGCAATTTTTGACACTTTTACCATTTTTTTTCCTAGTTAGCCGGTAATTATGACTTTTTGTCAAAAAAATAAAATAAAGTTTAAGACTTTCTTGTCAAATCGTCAATTAGAACTTTATTGTCAAATAAATAAAGTTTAGGATTTTCTTTTCAAATCGTTAAAACAGGGGGCATTTACCTATTTGCGGGTTTATGAAACAATAAAAGATGCTCTTCAAGCTGATTGTACATGTTATGCACCACGCATAGAGATTATCGGTATTCGTGTCACAAAGCTTAGAATCTCAAAAAGTGTAAGGAGAAACTTTGAGCAGATGGAAGAAGAAAGCACCAAGGTGGGTTTGGAGTAAAATTTTTGTTGTTGTTGGTGGTGGTGGTGGTTTGATGAAAAAAGATGTTTGAGGAAAATTTGGAAGATTCTGTCTTGTGAGTACTTTCAGATGTTGGATCATTCAAATGACTAAACTCTACAGTAAACAATGATGCCACGGCCAATTCCGCAAAGTATATATCATTTTTTTTGTTAGAAATTTAATCATATGATACTATTTAAGCGAGTTAGTGAAACATTCTCTAATCAACTATAACATATTGAAATCCTTAACGTTTGCTTCTTGAAAAATGATATATACCAAGCCGTTTCGCAACCTAAGCACCCCCGAAAAAGACCCTCGCCCCGCTACCGTCATTCATGATCTCTACCGTTGTTGCTGGTAAGAGGAGTCGCAGCTCCACCATCCAAATAACACTGATTAGCAATTGCCAATTGGAAGCCTACATCTTCACCGGCAGTAGCCTTAGTGCCATCCCCACAAACAACCAACAGATCAGCAACAAAATTGAATCTCCATTTCGGTCCTGTGTTACAATAGACGATACAATAGACGAACTCGGTTTGGAAATAGACGAACTCGGTTTGGAACACACACAAAAAAAAAAAATCTATGACATACAAGATCTGCAGTCGATCTCCCTCTTTAACTTATCGCTTCCACATGCAACCAAGTCACTGGCCCTTTGATTTCTCAAATCTCAATCTGTCGCCGCCAACCGAAGACACAACATCACTGCTGGCCTCACCAGTCGATACCCAACTACCCGACTGCAACCTGTCACTTCTCCCACTGTCGGATCATCCGTTGATTCCCAACGACATCGCCTTCAACACCGGTGACCCAGCTGAGCACCTCAACGCCAGTCACCACTGTGCCACCTCCTGTGGACCATCGCCATCTCTGGCCACCTTCAACCTTCGACCCAACAACTTACCGTCGCCATTAGAACTCGATGCTCCGATTTCCCTCTATAGTCGACATGGTTTGCTAGTCGTCGGTCCTTTTTGCTTCGTCGGAGCACCCTTGGGAAGGATCGTGAGAGCGAGAAGGGGAGGCGGCTGTAAGATGAAAGCCAAAGGAAGCAGCCCCACACTTGAATACCATGGAGTCATGGACGTTCAAAACACGTACCAAAAAAAAAAAAAAAAAAAAGAATATGGACTTACAGCTCCATATACCCTAACGGGCTGCATTTGTATATGGGCTATAAGATCTTATTTGGACTTCTTATATATTTTGGCATCTTGGCTGCCTAAATCAATTAAATGTCCCGATTTTTTGCAAGATTAAATTGGTCTATGAAAACTTAAGTGATATGATTTTGTTATTTGCATTTGACTAAATCAAGGCCATGTTGGCCATTGTTCCTTTATTTTAGTTTAGTGGATAGTTGTTCCTTACTTTCAACATTTAGATTAGATAAATATGAATCTTGTAATCATTTTCAGTTGAAGAAAAATACAAAGAAAATTGCCCCATATCTTCTTCATTTTACTCTGTTTTGTGCTCAGTGAAACAGGGCTTGCACCAACATTTGGTATCAGAGCCTGGTATATGCCCAAGTACCAACCTTGTTTCACAGATACAGGTGATAGAAATGAAGAAAAAGATGGCCAGATGACACTCCACTATCCAATGTTGTCAAGAACGAATTATGTAGCGTGGGTAATAAAGATGAGAGTCTTCATGCAGGCTCAGGGAGTTTGGGAAGTTGTAGAGCCAAGAACAGCAAATACGGTTGTTGAAGTTCGAAAAGATAAGATGGCAATGGCAGCCATCTATTAGGGTATTCCAGAAGATATGCTCTTATCGTTGGTGGAGAAGCAGACAGCGAAGGAGGCATGGGAAACCCTAAAAACCATGTACTTAGGGGCTGATCGTGTGAAGACGACTAGGGTTCAAACTTTGAAGACTGAATTAGAGATGATGAGCATGAAGGAGACTGAGACAGTGGACGAGTTCTCTGTGAAAATCACAAATATAGTCAGCAATATTCGTGCCTTGGGTGAAAAGATAGACGAGGCTTACGTTGTTAAGAAACTTCTTAGAGTCGTACCAAGCAAGTTTGTACAAATTGCGTCTACCATAGAGCGGTTTGCTGATTTAGAAACTATGATTGTTGAAGAGGTTATAGGAAGATTGAAAGCACATGAGGAAAGGGTACGAGGTCAAGGTGTGACATCCCCAATTTCTCAGCCAGAAAAGATCGATTTGTTTATGCTTTGTTTTATAAATCAGAGTAATCGTTTAAAGAAAACGGTTGCGGAATTTGTTCCCAAAACAAGATATGATAAAAACTTATCAAAAAATTTCTCAAAGAGAATATATTTTCATTAAATAATAAAACCTCGGGATGTCATGTTCCGATACAGACACATAAGCATAAACAGAACATACATTCATTTACTCTAGTGATTTATATATCCTTTAATCTCTCAGTGCAAAGCAGCTTCGTATCGATACTTGTGATACAATTAAACTGAGTGGGTCAGGCTTGGGAGCCTGGTGAGCATATAGGGTTTTCAACCCACAATAATATAATTATTATATTCAATCATCAAACAATCAACCCAATTACCCATCCCCATTATATTCTTTTAATCTTCCCTAAAGATATTATCCTAAGGGTCATCTCCTAAATCATATTTACCGCTCATCTCCTTACATTTTATATCCTTATATGCTTGTTCCTAAGTACTTTTCCTAAGGATCATCGCCTACATTGCATAGACAATACAAATTCGGGGATCACTCCCTCAATATATGTATAGTAAGGGTTAGGGTATCATCGCATGATTACGCAACCACAACATCGCCTGGAATCGTAAATCATAATAAGGGTTAGACTATCATCGCATGAATACGTAGCCACAACATCGCCTGGACTCGTAATTCATAGTAAGGGTTAGTCTATCATCGCATGAATACGTAGCCACAACATCGCTTGGACTCGTGATTCATAGTAAGGGTTAGAGTATCATCACATGAATTCGTAGCCACAACATTGCCTGGACTCGTAATTCATCACCTACAGGTTATGAGCCTGCTGGTGTTTCCACGGGGTCATCTAGAATAGTCTGTGGTCACCATCTATACTCTAGTAGATGACTACATCGCCAAATTGCCACATTGTCGGTCAAGGTTATGGTATCTCCTCTCATCTCACATCACCTTTCTATCATCACCTATTTCTCATCACCTAATTATCATCACCTATTTCTCATCACCTAATTATCATCACACATCATCTAATTCATCTACCCATGTTCTACCCAATATATTTGTAGATATAAAATACATATACATATTAACTCATTTAACACCTATATAAAACATCCATTCCACACTCATCTCAAATAAACCACAATATATAAACACATAACAGGTATTTCATAGCAAATACTTAATATATATATATATATATATAT